ATTGTGAGGAACTCAATTGGCTCGTGCTGTGATATATCTAAGGTTGGGCCACGCCCCAGATCCGGCTCCTCGAGCTCCAGCACCGAAAGCTGATGTTCAGGCTTCGCAAGCTCAGGCTGAGAAAGCTCAAGCTGAGAATGCTCAAGCTCCGGCTCCGGCGGCTACGTCGTCGGTGCCAGATGATCCGGCTTCAGGCCTTGCGGCTTTGGAGACTATCTTGCAATGCCTAGGACTCTGTAATCGCCCTCATGTTTTCGAGTCTGAGCCTGCTGGAGGTGGAGATGGTCTGCCAAAGGCCAAAGCCAAGGCCAAAGCGGGCGGCAAGAAGAAGAACACGGAAAATCCGAAGGCCGTGTTTGATGTTCGCAAGGCTAAGGTGAGCGGCCTCAGCGGGGCTTTTCCTTTGGTAGACCGGGCAGCTACAAAGGAGCTGCTCGGACAGGTCATGCTCCAGAAGGCAACTTGGTTGAATCATATGAATCATATGGTCAAATTTGCAGGTCCATGCTCAGATATATTATCATCTCTCATTGATTCAGAATATGCATCAGCGAGGCAGGGCAAATGGCGAAGATTACCCTTCAGCTGCAAGGGCACGCGGCTTCTAAGAAAGCCATGGACGATTTGCTCGCGGCAAAGGCCGAGATGGATGGGAAATGGGTTGCAACTTGATGGCATTGTGCATGACTTGAGGTTGGGATTTGCATGAATGTTTGCTTCATGTCTTGCTTGTGCTTGAGGAGCTCAAGAAGATCGATGAGACGGTGCCTGAGGATACATGGGTGGAAGCGATGAAGGACACACTCACTTGTACGATCCATTCACATAACATATAGAATTCTGTGACAGAACTCTATATGTCATGTGATTGGACCGTTCATGGCCAGGACATTACACGTTGCTACTTCGCCTATGTTTCGAAGGAGGAGCGCTGCAGAGCATGACGACATGTGTGCATGTTGAGTTTGTGTGTCGAGTTCCGGTTAGTGAGCTGTCATCCGCATGTTTTGTCGCAGGAGTTCGCTCAAGGATGCTGTCGGTCTGTCAAGAAGCAAGAGTGTGACGGTGCAGCCTGAACCTGTCAAGAAGCAAGGGTGTGACAGTGCAGCCTGAACTATATGCAAGCATAGTTCAATGGCCGCTGGGTTTGAGCAACATATGCTTGCTCGCGATCTTTCCTGAAACACGTTTGGGGACACCTGGCCGAGCTCGTGGCCCGGACACCTGCTGCTTTCCGCCATGAAAAACAAGTTCAGTTGCAGTGAGTGTCAAACCGTGCGCCCACTCATGTCGTTGTGCGTTTTTCAACTTTGTTGCTAGCTACCTGTGGCTGCTATCTCTCCCACGCAGGTGATGATGCTCCAGATGGGTTTGGTGCAGAGCGGCATCTTTGTCTGCAAGAATAGATTGAAGCTCATTTGCATGTTTTGTGTGAGTGAGAATTTATGTCGTGTGAGCTTCAACTCTTGAGAAAAGCGATGGTAGACGAGGTCCCAGCCAGCTTCCTCGTCGCAACCGCGATTGGGGAAGACTTGCCTGGCTTTGATTGCCAGGAGGACTAAAAAGTTGAAGCGAGATCAAGGATTTCGAGATTGGTCGGAGGCAGACCTACCAACTGCATTGAAATCATTGGATGAGCGCTACTCTACTTTGGATCACATGGTTGACACCCCCATGGGAAATGTGGTTTTAAAATCCCTCCGGAAGAAGGGTGCTGACGTGAGGTTCATGTGCAACGAAGTGTGTTCAGCTGCTGTGGCCGAAGGCTCCCAGAAATTCCAAACGCGATTATTGGCGAGCATTCGGGATGAACGTCGCTTGCACAATAAGCTGGCAAAATTTTTGCCCCGGGTGGAGAAGCTAAAGTTCCCTGCGCAAGTCAAGAAAAAAGTGGTGATGAAGGACTTCAGTGGTTCAGCTGCAATAGACGTTCCGTCGTGCTGATTGATGCCTTCTAATTACCATGTGCGTTGGTATCCCGGATCAGATGTGTCGCCGTGCTCTCGCCCAGGTTTCATTCGCCCCAGCTCGTGGTTCAGCTGGCTTCAGAAGCGGCCGAAATTGTTGCGGCACATGCTCTATGGCAAAAGCTCCGCTGCAGATCGGCAAACGCTCCTTTCCCGGAAGACTCATCCCTAGAATTTAGAATGTGCAGCTCATCATGTCTTGTTGTTTGACAGCCCTCATGCTCTCAGGTTTGTGAACTTGATTCACGAATCACCGTCATTATGCGAGGTTCTCTCCTCGGCAGGCGGTGCGATCTCGGTCAAAACGAAACCCCAAATCGTTCTGCTTGCGAGTGGTAAATGAAACAGGACCCGACGATGTATTTCTGCGCATCCACGGTGATGAGGGGCCTTTCTTCAAGAACAGGAATCTGCTGGTGGTGTCGTTGAGTTTTCCACATAATCATGGAGATGCTAAGTTGCACTTGAAACGGACATCAGTCGTTTCTATTTTTGTGTCTTGCAGCTTGCTTTGCTCCACAAATGAGGACACGATCATGACTCGTTTGCCTCTTTGTGTCTTGGTCTGCACGTGATCCCGTTTCTGCAAAGTTGCGGGATATGTATACACATGTGTGTGTGTGACTGAGGTGCGATCCCCGGTCATCTACTCGTGTCTGTGCCTCTGCAGAGGAAGGTGGGAACAGTATCCACGGTGGATAAGATCATGGACATCATTAGCAAAGATTTGGAAGGGTTGCGCCTCAGCTTTCAACCGTATCTGGATATTGTCTTTGCAGAGACTTCCTCTATATACATGTAGGTTTGGCTGCCGCAACAAGCCCCAAATGCATCGGAGGACTGTCCACATCGACCAACAAGAACGACCTGTCCGTTTCTTCGGGATGAAGGGCGACCTCAAATGGTTGGGGCACGTGTTCAAGTTGCCGCAGCCTCATGTGTGCATATATATATAGATATATACGTATTGTTGGTTTGGGTTTCGTCATTTGTTGCATGAGCTTTTGGGAAAGCGCGAACGTTGTTCCGCGTGACGGTTAACTGAGTCCCCGCCACTGGAAAGGCAACGGTGTTGCCCGAGGGAACAGGACGGCTGTTTTCAGCATAGGTTGCAAGTTGCGGCACGACCACTGTGACAAATCAACACTGTTGCAGGATGTGCCATATTTGCAAGCATCTTCGCTGCAACGAGAAAGTTGATATACAGTGATGCAGATTCACTGTAAGCATGTCACGGATTCTGTCTGATCTCCAATATCCAAGGCTTGCGAGCACGAGCGACCCGAACGATGGCAGAACGTTTCTGGCATACGGGTCCAGCCACTACTTGAATGATTTCGCCGACTCTGGCTGGCATGGTTCGGAGGAGTCGCTGCAGGACCTCATGAGAGCAAGTACGGTCTGCAACGCATGCAGAATATAACACGAATGACTTGCATTTCCCATTGCTTTCTGCACGACTCGTGTCTTAATCTGCAATCGAGGAGTTCATGGCAACCATGCGCAACTTGCAGTTCGCTTCCCCTATCATCCATGCTCCGGGTTTCAGCAATCGACTTATATGGGATGACTCCTTGCACGTGGCATACAGAGGGTTTGCCGCTGACTTCTGCGGCAGTGTGGTGGCAGAGATTTTTGGCAAGCAGGGCAACCAACTCTTGCGAGCTACCGAGATGCTCCACTGCTGGGCACGAGCTAAAAGCCATCCACTTTCGATGGAGGAGTTTAGTTTCAGCGATGATTACCCGAGTTTGAATGCGAAGGGCTGGGATATCAAACTCGTGTGTATGTGGCTTGCGTTGTGGTAGCATACAGCAGCCATGTGCTCATATGTTTTTGCATGTATACAAATGCACGCGCGTCTCGAGGCACGATTCAGATGTATTGAAATCTGAGGCAGAGATCACACCTGCCTTTGCTCGATCAGCAGCTGCTGCTAAGCAGCGAGAGCATGCATATGTGATGTCGATGTGCCTCGGCATCCCAATCAACAAAGATACGTACTAGTTCGCTTGAAGATTTTTGTCAATCTGGATTTCTGTACCGTAAACCCCAATCCCTAAACCCCTACTATCCCTAAAACCCTAAACCCATAAAACCGATCAACGCTTTCATATGACACACTTCTGATGGTGTTCACACTTGAGATGCAAGCAGATTTTTTGGCCGACTGTGCGTCGATTGAACAGATAATTTGATTCAGGACGGCTCGTGCCTTGGCCGTGAATATCGAGATCCTGGATGCTTCGGTGTACGAGATATCCCCCTCGAATGCTGTCCGCGGCCAGCGGGCTTGCAAACGTTTCGTCATGGGATACTCCTGGCTAGCCTTTTCCAGCTTCTGCGAGAACAGAAAAACCTTTAAACTTCGACCAAAGTTTCCTGGTCGCAGAGATCTTCCATAGACGTGTGTCACTTTTGAGCCGTGCGACTAGAATCACTAATACATTCTATTGATTATTTCGATCGCTCTCACATCTCAGGCTCCACGTCTGGCTGCATCTCTGGCACAGATGCGCGACCTGTCGACTGAATCCACAGCTCAACGCCTGTTTCGCAGACGAGGATTTCGTGCGGATCATGTGCAACGTCGACACTGGGTCTGCACATAAGCGGTTCGAAGGCACAACCGGAGCTCCTATGAAGTTTGTCCTGACATCTTGGAACGAAGGCTTCTGGATGTCACGCTGGCACCGCCGGCCTCACCGCTTTAAAGCGATTCCTGGCGACTGCCTCTCGAGAGTGGCTCCAAAGGGTGGCATGAAAATACGTGGTCATTTGCGCGGCCTCTTTCTGCCAAGTTCTGTGACTATGCGTTGAGAGCATTCTGCCTGCAAGTGTCAGTGAGCATTCTGTGCTGAGACATGATGTCGGTGCAGTTCTCAAGGCATGTCATGATCATGTCATGCCTGTTCTGCTAAAATTCAAGATTTCCAGCTGTTTATGCTGGAGATCTTGAATTTTATTTGCACATGAGCCATTCAAAACTTGGACTTTCTAAGTGAATCCAAGCTTTAAATTCACGTTGTTCGTTCGGTTTTGATTTCTCCAACATTGTTTACACATTTTTGCTTTTTCCCAACTCAATTTTGATTTCTCTCCCAAGTTGTACCAAACACAACAGTTTACAGCTGTTTTGCATGAGTTGGCGAACCACAGAAAACTCCTACAATGTAGGTATTTTGGCAACTTTTCCTACGTTGACTGAGTTTCGCAACAATGTAGGAAAAAAAGACAGTCATTTGAATCTCCAGGTTGGTAACGCTGTTTTTTGGCCTCAGGGCAAAAGCGTACTCAAGTACACTTTTCCGCCCGCCCAGTACACTTTTTCCCTAAGGACAGGTCTGCAGGCAGGGGCCCACCTTCCTGGGCCTGCTCCGCGACCTCGGACCTCGGCTATATACCCCGCCACCGCGGACCTTGAGGAGGACTTGCGCCTGGGCTTCGATATGCTGGGCCCCGTCCGCCTGGAAACCGCGGGCCGACGCGCGCTACTCTAACCCCTCGGGCCTGGATCGCCTGCGACAGGAGAACCCGACTTCGCGGCCGCCGGCGTCCACACGGCAGCCCTCTTGGAGGAGCTGGTGCAGGAGGCCCGCCTTGGCAGGGTCACCGGCCCTTGCGCCGCTCCCGACCACTGGTCCGTGGCAACCGCGGCGCTGCCCTGGACGGCTGACATGC